GGTGACAGTTTTGGGCCCGGGAGACGCACTACACCCATGCATGTAGGTGACATGTTGGTCCGGAACGCACTACAGCCATGCGTTGGTGACAGTTTTGGGCCAGGGACCACTACAGCCAGCAGTGGGTGACGGGTTTTGGGTCCAGGACGCACCACTCACAGAATGGTACTGCAAAGGGGCAAACAAACCTCCCCAAATTCCTGATTTTTTTTTACATACAAAGATTTTTGTTGGAATTTGATAGAAGAAAACATCGCGTTAAACCCTTAGGGTTAGGCTTTCCTTTATTTAAAAATTTAAAAATTTTTTAATTAATAAAAATATAAAAATAAATAAAAAAAAAAAAAAAGAAAAAAAAAAAAATTATTAAAATTTTAAATTTAAAAAATAATAAAAAATAATAATAAAAATAATAAAAATAAAATAATAATAATAGTAATTTTTAAAAATGGCTGTGGATGATTTAAGCAGGGGTTTTAAAACCACCCCTGGTTCCCCCCACCTTTGTTCTTTCTTTTGCAATGCGTTTAGTTTTGCGCAGATAGCTCTTAAAGGCGGCGGAACCCCTTCAACTTTTAAAACCCCCCCGCCCAACCCAATCCCCCCTTCCCCTACCCGGGGTTTACTTTAAATCCCGATCGTTTGTACTGCATATTACTCGGGATAACTGGGGGACTCATCAGGGGACAAAATTTTCCGGGTTTCCACTCATCCAAAGACAAAATTCAACGTTTTTGCCCGATACTCACTTCATAACATTTCACTTTGTAGATATCCTTTAGGAAAAGGGGGGGGAAAAAAAGGGGGGAAGGGGGGGGGAGGGAAAAGAATTTTTGGAAAAGGGCTTTTAGTTGCTGACCCTGGTGTTAAACTTATTTTGAAAATGGTTGTAGAAGTTAGTTTTTGTTTGAAAACTATGTCTCTGTTAAAAAGTTTTTTTTGTGTTTGGCTGTTAGAACTTTAAATTTTTTGTGTCCTGGGTGTTGAACTTTATTTTTTTTCCCGGTGTTAGAACGTTGGTTTTTTTTGTAATGGGGGGGGGAAAAAAACTTTAGTTGGGTACATGACGGAAAATTTTTCCCAACGGGGGTTTACACTTCGAAAAAGTGGGAAGTTTTATTTTTTAAAAAAAAAAAATCATCTCTGCCTTGAGTCGACGAGACAGACGCTTCAAAAAAGGGGTATCCGGTTTCTCACGTCATTTACACTCCTTCAGGTACTGTAACATTATTGTAAAGGTATCCAGGACTCTGCGTCAACCCATCTTTTTTTTTATCTTTAAATCAGTATTTTATATTATTTTTTAAATTTATATTATATTACTGTATTATGTAGGATCAGGTTTGTCAGGAAATTTGGGCAAGTGCTTCCTGCCTACAGTTTTGGGGCTTTTGGTCACTGAGAGGGCCTTCCCTGGCTTACCCGGTCCACCCCTTTAAATAGCATATACCCGGAGATTTCCAGGAAAGGGTTTCGGGGGGCAACCCCCCCCCGGCCCGGGGCTGTGACTTTTAACCCTTTTTTAAAATTTTTATTTATTTTGTATGGGTTTTTATCAGCCTAAACCAAAAAACAGGTGAATCACAATATCAGAAAAACCACTGTGAAAAAAAGTGAATTTTCAAGCGCTTTTTTCAATTTCCAATTTTTAAGGGGCCCCAAAGCGCTTGGGAAATTCATATTTTTCCAAGGGTTTTTTGTAATTTTAAATTTTAATTAGTTATTTAAAAGATAATAGATTTTACAAATTTTTAAAAATTTTAATTTTTTAAATTTTTCATGAGGGTTTAAACAAAAATAGTATTTTCAAAAAAAAATTTTGTGGGAAAACAAAAGTCCCCCTAATTTTTTTAATTTATGTTTTATTTTCCCCTAGGGGGCCCTGGGCACCCCCTACGGGGCTGGGGGGGGGCGAGGGGGGGGGAGGACGGGACGTGTGTACTCTTTCCCCCCGGGGGTGAGGGAAAATCGCTTTCCCGAACCTGGCTGAGATGACGCCACTCGCCCTCGCCCTCCGCATATAGGAAATTTGTCACCCGGAACCCGCATACCAAATGCAGGCTAGGGTAAATTGTGTGTTTGTGTGTGTGTGTTGTGTGGTGTGATGCAGGGGTGATCATAGCTCCCGTGTGGGGTTTCTCACCTATTCTACTCACCTAGCTGCGGCTGCAGGGGCCGAGTCAAGCTCCTGCTCCCCCTCTTCATGGCCGCTACTAGGTCCCTCTTCCCTCCCCTGGCTTTTTCATACCTCTTTTAAAGCTATGTATATATTCTGCCCCACTACATCATTCCCAGACATTTCCCCTTTCCCGACAACCTGTGACTGAAGAAAAACTTAAAAAATTTTTGAATTCATCTGAGTCTTCAACTTCCAAATGGACACCCTTGTGTTCCCATCCTGGAACATCCTGTCTCTATTCACTTTGTCAGTTCCTCTCAGTATTTTTTTATGTCTTTCATATCCCCCTAACTTCCGTCCTTTATGTCGTCTCCCATTTCCCCTTTAAATCTCTTTAAGGACATTTAACTTAGTCGGGGCCAATTTTTGTAACCTTTGCACTTTCTCTTTTTTTACATGCTTGGGTAGGTGTGGGGTTTCCAAACTGGGCGCTACCCAATATACCCAATACCGGTGTACAGTGTTCTGACGATTCCTTTTTGGATTTGAAAAGCTGTTTCTTAGTTTCTAGGGGCCCAAAGCTGCAGCATTTATTTTTTTGATGGCGCCTCAGAATTTTGGGCCCCGGGGTTTTACTCCCCCCAAAATCTTTTCCTTAGTGAGGTTTTTATACTGGCCCCCTTGACTGACCCCGTCTGCGGTCTTTTTTTTTCCCTTCCCCCAATTTTTTTT